TATAAATTTAGGAAAAAAAGTGCGGATATTTGCCCCACCGTACCCTATATCTAATAAAGGGAGAATATTTATTGAATTTCATGATTTATAAAAACTTTAAATTTTATTCATGAATCTGATTTGTGTGCATGCGAACACACACTTCAACAAATAAAACAAATGTAATATAAATACATATAATCCATTGTAAGTGTGAAAATATTTCAGAAAAGCATTTTTCATTATTTAAAAGGAAACATTTACTCCAATTGCATTACCGACACAGCTGAAAATGATTTCACTAAATAAACTTTAGAGAACACACGATTTTATTCATTTGGCAGTTCACTTAGAAAATGGGCAGCGTGTATATTTCACACCTGAAAATGCACAACAACGAGCTACTGCACCGCCAATAACTACATTGACGGAATTTTTCGAGTTGTGTAAAAGAGATTCATTTGCAAGACAATTGTTGTATTCGGAAGTACCAAAGACGTGGGATACAACAACAAAAAAATGTCAACGACGCAAACAAGGAATTAGAATTGAAGGTCACACAAATTTATTTGCATCAGATGCTTTAGGTCGATTATACACTGTCCATCCTTACAATTTTGAATGTTACTATTTGCGTATGTTGTTAATCAATGTTCGTGGGCCAACATCATTTCAACATATAAAAACAGTTAATGGAGAAATATGTGCAACTTATCGACAAGCTTGCGAAAACCTACATTTACTTGAAAATGATGCACAATGGAATCTATCACTTGAAGATGCATCGAATACTGCTCATCCACATCAAATACGAAGTTTGTTTGTAGTTATAATAACTACATGCTTTCCTGTAAATCCTCAAAGTTTATGGGAAAAGTATAAAAACTTTATGAGTGATGACATTCTGTTTCGATTACGTTCGTCGACTGGAAATTATGAATTACAATTTACATCTGCAATATACAATGAGGCATTGGTTATGATTGAAGACAAATGTTTGGCGATAATAAATAAAACACTAATACAGTTAGGAATGGAAGCACCTGATCGAACAACCGAAGGTATTCATAATAATGATTTGCGACGCGAACAATGTTATGACATTAATGAACTAGATGCATATGTACATTCAAATGTACCGAAATTACAAACAGAACAACTTAACGTATACAAATCAATTATGAGAGCCGTCGAAAATAAATGTGGTGGATTATATTTCCTGGATGCACCTGGTGGAACAGGAAAAACATTCCTTATTTCATTAATTTTGGCAACCATTCGATCGAAAAATGGAATTGCATTGGCACTAGCTTCGTCAGAAATTGCAGCTACTCTATTGGATGGTGGTAGAACTGCACATTCTGCATTAAAGCTACCATTGAATTTGCATTTTACTAATACACCTATGTGTAATATTTCAAAAAAATCAGCAATGGGTGAATTACTTCGGATATGCGATATCATTATATGGGATGAATGTACAATGGCTCATTTCAAATCATTAGATGCACTTAGCCGAACACTACAAGATCTAAGGGGAAATTCACAACCTTTTGGAGGTGCACTCATTTTATTATCAGGTAATTGAACGAAAATTGCTTTCTAATTTTCTAATGACATTAATTAAAATATTGATATATTTTATAATCAGGTGATTTCCGACAAACGTTACCTGTTATACAACGCTCCACACCAGCAGATGAAATCCATGCATGTTTGAAATCATCACATTTATGGAATGGTGTAAAAAAATTACATTTAACTACAAATATGCGTGTGCAATTACAAAATGACCCTTCAGCCGCACGTTTCGCGAAACAGCTATTGGATATTGGAAATGGAACGTTAAAAATTGATGCATCCACAAAATGTATTTCATTTCCACCAAATTTTTGTAATATGATTGCATCGAAAGAAGACCTTATTCAATGTGTGTTTCCAAATATTAACCAAAATTATAAAGAACATAAATGGTTGAGTGAACGTGCAATATTAGCTGCTAAAAACATTAACGTTAATGCATTAAATTTGGACATTCAAAATAAGTTGTCTGGTGAATCTATAACATATAAGTCAATCGATAATGTTATAGACCAAGACGATGCAGTGAATTATCCAATAGAGTTCCTAAATTCACTTAATTTACCAGGAATACCGCCACATGAACTCAAATTAAAAATTGGTGTTCCTGTCATTCTACTTAGGAATATTGATCCGCCACGTTTGTGTAACGGTACGAGACTTGCTGTTAAGAAATTAATGAATAACCTAATTGAAGCAATAATAATAACAGGCAAATATAAGGCGAAAATGTACTTCTTCCGCGTATTTCATTAATACCATCAGACATGCCATTCGAATTTAAGCGTCTACAATTTCCAATAAAGCTCGCGTTCGCAATGACAATCAATAAAGCACAGGGTCAATCGCTTCAAGTATGTGGATTGAATTTAGAAGATCCTTGCTTCACGGATGGACAACTTTATGTAGCATGCTCACGTGTTGGCAAACCATCAGATTTATATGTATATACTCCAGATGGAAAAACTAAAAATATTGTTTATCCAAGTGTATTGAAATAAATTAAATTTTCATTTGAATTCTCTTATAGTTTTGTTTTTTCTCAATTGACTAAGCTATTTTCATATCAAATATACAATAATCAATTCTTCTTTGAAAATTTAATCATACATTTTCAAATGAATTGTCACTGTAACGACGCTATGCCTTCTTACGTCAACGCCAACTGGTGCAAGAACAAG